GATGATAATGATGAAGGGTGTCAGTGGGGGGTTCTGGGTGACTCTATCCTCTCTCCAGCTCCAGTGTCCAGTCTCTGTCTGTAACCCCACTGTCACCCTGACACAGGACACAGAGGTGCAGATGTGTTGTTACAGACTGAGTGTCTGTTCAGCTGCTCTACAGGAGTGATGATGATGATGAAACCCGATCCCATTGGAACAGTACGGTAACAACACAATTTTCATTCAAAACTGTTCTTTAATTACAGATCATATGTACAGAAGTGTAAAATATATGAGATAACTATGAATCAAAAGAGTTTTGTATAAAACAAAAGAGCACTATCTACTGTATAACATGAGAGCAGGTATATACAATCAGGACTGACACACTGGCTGTGTGTTGCTGTGTGCCCCTGCAGTAGGGAGTTACAGTGAGACTCTGTTGTCTTTCGCCCATTTTCTTAGGGCCCTGATGATGTACTCCACCTGGGGGTTCCCCGTGTTCCTCAGCAAGGGCAGCACTTCCCTCAGGGTCTCCCTAAAACACACACACAGCTCAGAGTCTCACACACAGCTCAGAGTCCCACACACAGCTCAGAGTCCCACACACAGCTCAGAGTCCCACAGACAGACATCAGAGTCACACACACAGGTCAAAGTCACACACACAGAGATCAGAGTCACACACACACAGCGATCAGCGTCAAACACACAGCTCAGAGTCACACACACAGGTCAGAGTCACAAATACACAGATATCAGAGTCTCACACACACAGACATCAGAGTCTCACACACACACACAGACATCAGAGTCACACACACAGACATCAGAGTCACACACACAGGTCAGAATCACAGAGATCAGAGTCACACACAGACGGATGCTCAGACAGACACACCTGGGCTCCCTGCCTGCCAGGATGAGCTGGAAGATGCCCACACAGGCACCTCTCTTCCCCTCCCAGTACTCGGGGCTGGGATCCAGCCTCTCCAGGACATCGAATGCCTTCGCCGAGTAGTAGAACTGACCCATCTGAGGGAGAGGAACAGAAAGCATGAGGGGAGGGAGAGGCCGGCAGGGAGACACACAGAAGTCAAGAGGCAGAGGCGGCACCTTGTAGCAGTCGTTTGCGATGAGCTGCAGCAGGCTGAAGGACTCGGATGAGGTCTCCATCTTAAGATACAGCTCCCAGGCCAGCCGAGCCTTCTGGTTCATGATGTCTGAACAAATACAGCCACAGTGAGAAACTCTGAGACAGAGAGTGTGCGGGAAGTACAGTTTTCAGTGTGCACAGCAGTGTGTGAAGGGAGTACAGTGTTCAGTGTGCGCAGCAGTGAGTGTGCAGGAAGTACAGTGTTCAGTGTGCACAGCAGTG